CTGGTCACGTTGACGCCTCCTGGGTTGACGACTTGGCTACGCAGCGGTCGTCACAGGGTTACACCTTCAGTCTTGGCTCCGGTTCTGTCTCTTGGCCGTCTACCCGCTCTTCTTTTGTTCTCAGCTCCAGTTGTGAGGCTGAGATCTACGCTGGGGCCATGGCTGCACAGGAGCTACGCTGGCTCACCCACCTGCTGACCAACTTGGGAGAGGCGCCTCGTTCTCCTCCAATTCTGTACGTCGACAACAAGGCCATGCTGGCTTTGTGTCAGGAGCACAGACTGGAGCACAGAACGAAGCACATTGCTCTACGCTACTTCCTTGCTCGAGAGTTGCAGCAGCGTGGCCAGCTTCGTCTTGCTTACGTGGCCTCTCAGGCCAACACTGCTGATGTTTTCACCAAGGCACTTCAGCCTTGTGATCATCAGCGTTTCTGTACTGTTCTAGGCCTTGTACCTACTGTGCCTCACTTGCTTTCTTCTTGACTCTGCTTGTACTGTACTCTTTATACATATACCTGCATGCTTACACTTGCTAGGTTGTGTTCACTGTATTGTTTGTTCTCCTTTATATAACTCTGCATGTGAACTGGCCTTGTGGCCATTTGCTTGTGCTCAGACTGCGTGGTGACTTTGTGATCCACCCTGAGCTTGTTTTGCCTTTATTGACTGGTCTTGTTACCTCTTGTTCTCCCCCACTTTGCCTATGGGGGTGTTTCAAACTTATATGCTATAATCTGTTTAGGCTGTAGTGGGGTAGTTCTTACAGGGTACAACACTTTTAGGTTTCCTATATGTACCCACCTGCTTCCTAGTTCATTCATTCCTCTCATTATTCTCACATGCTTCAGTGAGAAGACGTTGATCACGATCAGCAGGTGTTTCTCCCCAAGTGGTCCCATCAGGTTCCTGCGCCCCCCAAGTGCCTTCATCCGTGGGCATATTCGTCGTATCTCCCCAACCACCAACGTGGGCAAGATAATCTCGGGAGTTCTGGACGTTGTTCAAGCCTTGATTGTCAAAGGTCAGCATGACAGCGGCAGGCGTGGTTGAAGACGTGGGTACAACTCCTTCACGAGGAACGGTATCATCGGTGTAATCGATGTCATCATGATGTTCCCATGGGCCGAGAGAGAGAATATTGTCGGAGTCGGCAGTGGTGCGTTCAGGTACGAAGTTGAGAACGAATACACCGTTCTGCTTGATTGCCGTGCCGAGTTTCCTGTCTCCATATTTTAAAGTAAACTTGCCCGGTTCACCAAGAAGAGTAATTCCATTCCTCATGAGCTGTGCAGATGACATCAGATTGAAGCCAAGTCGAGGAACGAGGAGTACATCGTTAAGATGAAGACTGAAGTCTTCTTCAACAGAATCAAGAATGATGTTACCCATCCAGTGTGCTGTAAGACGTTGATTGTTGGCGACGGTTACAACGCATGGATTCTGAAGACGACGTTGATTGATGACGAAGCGGTTTTCCGATGAACACATATGCTGGCCGCAACAACTGTCGAGATACCAAGTGTTGGGACCTTCCAAGGTATGTGCAAGGTTGGCGTAGACCTCGGGTGGTATGGGCGTATTGAGTTCATCGTTGAAGTTATTGTGAATACGATCTTCAGCGTCAGGATCGTAGGCGGTAGAAACTGACGTCATACAATTGATAACTTCTTTCGCTTGTGTCTTGGCAGGTGTAGTAGGCGGCTTCGCAGAGTTCGGCTTCGCAGTATTCTGCTTCGCAGCTTCTGGCTTCTCGGCTTCCAGCTTCTCAGCTTCACCTGAAAAATCTTTGGTATGTTTTGATGCAGACCGCTTCCAAGATGGTTTATCCTTCGACCAGCAGGTATCAATAGTGTGTCCTGCTTTGCGACAAAAGGAACAAACGGGCTTGTGACGTGGATTAGAATAAAAACTGACTGTGTTGTTTACCACCTTTTTCCCTCCTCGAGCGTTGTGCAGGTCCATATCCTGCTGCTCGGCAATGAGAGCGGCACAGACTGCCCCCTCGGACAACTGTGCTTGCATCCGAAGAATAGAGCGACACTGTCGCCATTCTGGTCCAAGACCCGCGAGTAGCACCGTGTGAAACATAGCGTCGGGGAAGTATCCTCCACACTTCTGAAGTTGGTCGCGCAGATTTCGAGCGCGGTTGATATACTGCGTCACCTTCTCGCCGTTTATCATCTGTATATTTGACAGCTGCGTTAAAATTTTACTCTGGTTGACAGTGTCCTTTGTCATGTAAACCCCTTGCAGGTATAACCAAGCTACTTCAGCGGGAGCGGCACTGGTACGAAAAGGACGAATACCAAGCTGTTCAGTCGGTGTCAGATTGCGAACGAGAACTGTGTATGCAGTCAACGACGCTGATCAAAAAGTGGCCTGTTGAAGTGGTGACCCGTGTGATGGAAAGGGTGCTGTGCCGTCGAACAACTGCCAGAATCCCGCGGTCTGAACAAGAAGCTCGAATTCAAAACTCCAGGTATAGAAGTCTTGACCGTTAAAGGGTATTGTCGTTTTAATTTTTGTTGGGTTTGCAGAAGCGGGAAGATAGTTTCCGGTACCGTCAGCTGATTGTAACTGATAAAGTGATGGCATCTGTGACCCTTGTGGTGCTTGTTGTCCTTGTCCAGCAGGAACGAAAGAGAAGGAGTTATTCGACCCGTCGCTTCCTTCTGGCATCTGTCCATGCTGATAACTGGAGCCATCAAGGCTCATAGGAGTTGGAAACATTTGGTTAAGTGACAAGACGGCAGCATTGACACGTTGTTGAAGATTTGTTGGCTGGTAAGCACCTTGATATTGATAAGGTCCAGTCGGTACGAAACTGGACTGTTGTCCTGGTTGACTAGAAGAACCAGTGACTGCAGCTGTAGCTGTTGTGGCTGCTGATGCTGCTGTTGCTGCGGCTGCTGTCGATGATGCCGCTGCTGTAGTTGTGTGTACGGGCTGATTGCTCAGTGGCATGCCGTACATCGGTTGTTGCTGATATTGTTGTTGTTGATGTTGTTGCTGCAGAACAGAATTGTCAGCAGCTGGAGACGCTGTTGGGCATGATGGGCTCGTAACAGAAGAGCCGTTGTTGGATCGTGGAGAGCCAGACATAGTTGCAGAGTATGTATTTGGAAGCTTGTAGAATCCTAAGACGCTCGCAATACCATGTTAGAATTTGAAATGATTGAATAGGATCGTAATACTTAGGATGGTAGCTTCCTGTCGTAGCGGAAGTCTTGTATGAATTAAAGCCAATTAAGGAGGCTTTGTCTGGACTAGTGAAAGCCCATGTAGTGATATGTTTCAGGATCAATGTCTCTGAAATCAGATATATTATAAAATGACAAACACACAGAATATATAGCTAGAGTAAAGTACCTATTCGCATACTATACTGTGCTATTCACGCTATTCGTGTTCTGAAACGGTACGTGACTATTTGCGAGGCCTATAGCTACGTGCTGACGTCATCCTAGGGCGCGTAGCGCTTTGCTGACGTCAGCCTATCGGTACTTTATTGTTAGGTGCGAAGTCTCGCACTGTACTACACGAATCCTTGAAGTGCTTAAGTCTTCATATTATCTCAACAGATACAATACTGGTGTGCAGAATCTAACATGTTAGCCGTTGGAATCTGCTACTAGTTGTAGGATAATGTGGTTGTTAATTTCGATCTGGTGTTCGGGAATGGCGTCAAAATTGTGAGATTCGTGTTGGAAATTACAACATGCGATATTTCACCGCTTTGCGGTGTACATTTTGATTGTTCGTGCATGTTTGGGTTGAGCATAGTGTGTTAGTGTGTACGGAACGTAACTTCGCTATGTAATGAAATTGTTGTCGTTGCATGCATAATGTGCCAATAACGTGTACGGGAAGAAGTGTTGCATGTGCGGTTGGGGGACGCTTTGAAGGCGCATTACCGCGTCATGCTGATGAGGTGTGCGATCGCATCCCGACGGTTCGAGTTTGACTATTCGGCGGCCATCACAGAGGTTGGTTATGCCGACATGCTCGAGTGGCTGGGAGATGCGTGGACTCGAGTGCGAGCGGCTACCATGCAGAGGAGTTGGTGGTAATGCGGTAATGCGTCTTCAACCATGCCGGTTGCGTTCCGTCGAGCTGGCCGCCATTGATGGCGTACCTGAACGACACATGTGCAACAGACATGTTTGAGTCCCTTATTGCGGTATGTGTCGATCTGCAGTTGCTCATCGAGAAGTTCAAAGTGAGGCCTGCATGCCATATGACGGCTGTGGAGTTTGTCAACTGCGACGCTGGCCTCTGTGTGGAGCAGGGGTTCATCGCAACATCACCGGCCAGCGCGTCGTCGGGCTCATCCGGCGAGATGAGCCTGCCTGATGGCCCACTGCTACGGGACGAGCGAAGCAGGAAGCGCGTGATTCGCAACGTCACAAACGCGTACGTGGAGCATGAGCTCGGTATTTCCCCGGCCGCGGTGCCAGCTGAGGTCGGCGCATCAAGCCAGGAGGTGATTTCCCACCTGTGCAGGACGCCGGTGAAGCGTACACGCGCAGGTGTGCGTGGGAGGGACGGGGCAGACCCGGAGGCGCAGGAGAGTGAGGACGAAGATTAGTGTGTGATATGGTGGAGTGGCTAAGTAGTCAGCCACTCTGTATGCGGAAGGGTGTGTGATGAGTACGCCGATGGTTTATGTTGTTGATGGAGGTGTGATGAAGTTGTGTTTGTAGTATGTTTATTGGTGCTGAAACCTAGTTGGATTTAATGTATCAGCGTCAGTTATAGACTTTTTCGCGATGCGGTATCGTGCCTGGATATGCTTAACATGCCTGGATATGCTCGACGTGCTACCAGCCGTATTTATTACAGCAAATCCTTACAAACTACCGCATGTGTAAGGCATGGCTGCAGAAATTACAGGAGGCACTAAGTATATCTATCCTACGAGAACAAGTCTGGCACCGGTGCTGCTGACATTTATAAGAGACCATGCGCGCGCCATTACTAACCCCGCAACTTCTCCATCTACTTGAGGGGAACGAGGACGTTGCTGATCTCGTAGCAGATAGCCGTGGGGTCCTGGAACAGCACCTTGGTGATGTTCGCCAGCTGCGTGCCCTGCTGCGCGAATTGCGGGCCCAAGCTAATGGTCTTGCCGGCGCCCTGATACTTCTGAATCTGGCCGTTGGTACGGAATGTGGAGTATCCCTGGCCAACCTTGTCCTTCACGAAGCGCGGGGGCAGGGCTTGGAAGTTAAGCATGTGGTTCTTCAGAAGGTCCTGGAGGGTGGTCGCGCTCTTCGCCCAAGGCGTCTGCGCGGCGCAACAAGGCACGAGCACGGGTTGTCAGAACGGCATGGGCAGAGGAAGATCCGAAGAAGCGTGAGCGACGTGCGAAGGACCGATCGCGAAGAGATTTTGCGAAGCGTGTCTGAGAGTCCGTACGAGAGTTAAGTAAACGAGACAAAAGTGGGTAAGTCATTCCATTAGTTTAGCAGCGAGGGAACTTACCAGGATGGTAGCCTTTTGAACCTTGAACGCCGCGTTTGATGGCACTAAGCAGGTGAAGCCAGTGGTGGAGGTGGAGAGGTAGTCCGTGATCCACTTGGTGCCTGCGCGCCACAAAAACGTCTGCTTCGGTTAGATCACGCGGAAGAGTGGTTCGAGGAGTTTCGACGTTGCGGAGACTTACGGATTTCGCGGTAAAAAAACAATTGCCTCGCAAAACCGAGGGAAGAGAAGGTGAATGTCATTGAAGGAGTCAACAAACCTGCTTTCTTGACGATGGATAGATAGGTGCTGTGCTGGCCTCCCTTCTGCAGGGCCTGGGTGATGAGAGTCCATTGAAGAGTTCCATCGCGAACCACTTTCGCCGCAGACACACACGCGGCGCATGAAAGCGCTAGGACGAGTAAAGCGATGAAGGAAACGCGAGCCATGATCAAGTGCTTGAGTACAGGAACTGACGATGGAAGTGGCTGGAGGGTTTGGGAGGCCGAGGAGGAGGTGTGATCAAATTCGATGATGAATCGAAAACGAGTGCCGCCGACTTTTGTACCTCCAAGGCTACCTATCAGGTGTTGTTGACGGGAAGTGTGACTCGTTGGCTCGAATTCGTGGAGCCGCTGAAAACGGGGCTGCCTCTCGCACCGCCTTTCATGATCAGCGTCGCGCGGCTGTCCGTCCGTCGGTCGGTCGGTTGTGTGGTGGTGAGTGTCGTTGATTCGGAGATCTCGCGCTCACTGCGACGAGTCGTGCCGCGATGCGTTGTCGCATGTCCCGTGACAACTGGTTGGGGAATTGAAGTGGGATGGTACTGTCGCAGCGCATGGTCGGAGTCACACCCCATGCGGCTGCCCTCAAAAGAGCACCCCCTGGGTGGTGTCGAAGCGCGGTCTGTAAGCAAAGTTTCGTGCACTGGTTTTTAGGTCATCCGTGGTGTACTGGGTCGCAGATGGGGAAATTCTCTGTCCGTTGGACAGGACCGGCGCTGTTTGGCTCTGCTCGTGTTTGAGGTTCTGCGCGGGAGTTCCTGCGGTCAGGCACATCAATCATCGGCATGGTCTCAACTTGACAGTACTTCACTCCATCCCCTCCACGCAGGACTCCACTACGATTATGTTTCACGCTTCCCGCTCTATAGATCCACACACAACGATATCATGTTTGGCAAGCAGAAGCGAACTGGTAGAATTTGTTTTGTATGGTTGATGATATAAAATTAACAGAGTTCTTTATATATTTATCTGTTTAATTTTAGGACTGATTCGGATTTAATATCTAAGCAAAATGATTTTTTATGGACAGCAGCATATATGTAAGGAAAATTCCTTTTCCTTACTTCGCGTCCGTGCTCAGCACGTACAACACTGACAGCACCCCACAATATCCCGTTACCACTCGCGACATTCGCCTCGACACCATTCCCGCCACTGTTCACGATGCGACCCAACCACACGGTTCGGTTGGTAACCCGCGCTCCGGACCTCCGCCTCGACAGTTCCCCAAACCTCGACATTAGGCCCGTCGCGCCCCCCATTTTCCCACGTTACCGTTACCACCGTAGTTTCGCTATATATTCTTCGCTCATTCCTTTGCTCATTGTATCTTGTCTCGATAGTGCAATCCTCGCTCGCTCACTCAATTGCACTCGTAACACTTGTTAGCAGAGCCTACGATCTTCTCTCAGACCGCACCCACACCTTCGCTTCCCCACTATCATTTTTTTTGGGGGGGGGGGTATATGTCTCTCAGCGATCAAGCACCGCCGCTCGTAGTGCTCTCTCGTAAGCACGCACGGCCACGACAGAGGCTCTCGCTGAGCTTGCCCGACACCCCCGCCATGGCCGAACTCAACGTCGCGACACTGACACAGGAGCAATTAGATCGGCTCATGCGCCAACTCGAAGAATCGGCGCTTGAAATCGTCACACTCACGGCGGAACGCGACTCTACTCGCCAACAATCGACAGTGAATGCACCACCGCCAACACACGCACCTGCACATTCGGAGGAGCCGATTGTCATCTCCTCCGGCACACTGACACAGAATGACAGCGTGGGACAACGCTCAGGCACAGCCAGTGAAGGCGCCGCTCACTCGATGCCGGGCATGGAGAGAAACAGGACCGCACCAAGCCCACGGGAGCCCCGCGAGTCCCGTCGGCACGTGGAATTTGCGGCAACAAGTGGCGAATACGCCGTCACGGCACCAATGCCACTCAAGCCGCAGCGTCCGCCCTGTTTCGACCCGAGCCAGCGTGGGGGTCCGACGGTTCAGTCGTAGGTCTTCAAGATGAATGTGCTTTTCGACCCCAATTACGTCGAGTCGGACGCAGCGAAGATTCGCTATGCTGTTTCGCTGTTGAGGGGCCCCGCCATGGACTGGTGGCGAGTCATCGTGACGTCGCCACGCGCCTACGAGCCACCGTCGCACGAAGACGGGCCCACGGGCCCAGCCGTCACCTGAAGTTCATTATGCGAGACAGCCCAGTACAACACGTGGGATGCGTGGTGCGCAGGGCTTCGGGCGCGTTTCGAGCCGATCGCGGCTTCGATTTCGGCGCGTCAGAAGCTGCGCACTTGGCGGCAGCTCGGGTCGGTTCAAGATTATACTAGTGGCTTTCTCGCACTATGCGAACAAGTCGGCTATATGCACGAGGCGGAGCGGGTGGACCGTTATGTCGGAGGGCTAAAGCCGGACATATCGCACGAAATTATGCTACGCGTGTCAAACTTATATGCTATAGTCTGTTTAGGCTGTAGTGGGGTAGTCCTTACAGGGTACAACACTTTTAGGTTTCCTATATGTACCCACCTGCTTTCTAGTTCAGTCATTCATTCGCTCACATTCTAACATGGTATTCTGAGCAGGTTCCCTAGTGGGAACGTTTTTAAAGGGCCCACCACGATTTTTTTTTTCCTGCCCTGCCCGAAGCGCGCATCGCGCCCTAGCCAGTCGCGGCCCCTAGCCCTTATGGCCCCTAGCCTGTCGCGGCCCCTAGCCCGTCGCGGCCCCTAGCCCGTCGCGGCCCCTTGCCCGTCGCGGCCCCTAGCCCGTCGCGGCCCCTAGCCCGTCGCGGCCCCCCTTGCCCGTCGCGGCCCCTAGCCTGTCGCGGCCCCTAGCCCGTCGCGACCCCTAGCCCGTCGCGACCCCTTGCCCGTCGCGGCCCCTAGCCCGTCGCGACCCCTAGCCCGTCGCGGCCCCTAGCCCGTCGCGGCCCCTAGCCCGTCGCGGCCCCTAGCCCGTCGCGGCCCCTACTGCCGACGCGGCCCCTACTGCCGTCGCGGACCCTAGCCCGTCGCGGCCCCTACTGCCGACGCGGCCCCTACTGCCGTCGCGGCCCTAGCCCGTCGTGGCCCCTGCTGCTGGCGCGGCCCCCTGCTGGCGCGGCCCCCTGCTGGCGCGGCCCCTACTGACGCGGCCCCCCTGCTGGCGCGGCCCCTGCTGACGCGGCCCCTGCTGACGTGGCCCCCTGCTGACGCGCCCCCCTGCTGGCGCGGCCCCTGCTGGGGCGACCCCTGCTGACGCGGCCCCCTGCTGGCACGGCCTCTGCTGGCGCGGCCCCTACTGGCGCGACCCCTGCTGACGCGCCCCCCTGCTGGCGAGGCCCCTGCTGACGCGCCCCCCCCCCTGCTGGCGCCCCCCCCCCCCCCCCCCCCCTGCTGTCGCGCCCCCCCCCCTGCTGACGCGGCCCCCTACTGGCGCGCCCCCCCCCCTGCTGTCGCGTCCCCCCCCCCCCCTGCTGACGCGGCCCTCTGCTGGCGCGCCCCCTGCTGGTAAGCACCCGCGCCGCCCAGCCGAGCCGCGCCGCCCACTGAGCCGCGCTGCCCACTGAACCGCACCGCCCTACCGAGCCGCGCCGCCCCACTGAGCCGCACTACTGCTGCTACTGCTGCTACTGCTGCTACTACTGTTACTGCTGCTACTACTGCTCCTACTGCTGCTATGGCTAGCCCTACTGTTCTCACCTTTGATGCTGAGGGACGTGCAGTTGACTTTGACGTGTGGGTTGACGACCTGCAGCTTTTTCTTCAGTGTGATTCTAGGGATGGGGTATCCCATTTCGATCACACGTCCTGTGTTTCTACGGCTCCTGTTGCCACTGCTGACAGTACGGTTCGCTCGCAGTGGACCACTCGTGACGCTGTTGCTCGTCTTGCTGTTCGTAGTCACCTGCCGCCTGCTGAGCGCGCGCATTTTGGCCAGTACAAGACTGCTCAATCTTTGTACGACGCTGTAGTAGCGCGCTACTCCTCCCCTGCCACTGCTGCCCTCAGCCGCCTCATGCTGCCGTACCTTTTCCCTGACCTTGCCGCCTTTGCCACAGTCGCTGACCTAGTTGCTCACCTCTGCACTAGTGACGCCCGCTACCGCGCTGCCCTTCCCACTGAGTTCTGTGCCAAGAACCCCCCCCCCATGTACATCACCCTTTACTACCTAGTCACCCGCCTCCCTGACTCCCTTTCTTCAGTCAGGGACCACTTTCTCTCCCTTTGCCCCACCGAGCTGACTGTCGACCTGCTAGAGGAGCGCCTTGCTGCAGCTGAGAAGAGTATCTTAGCTGTAGGTGCTTCTCGCCACGACGGTTGCACCCCTTTCTTTGAGGGGTGTTCCCCTCTCCCCCTTCTCCCCTCTGTTGCTTCTGCTGCTGCTGTCGACCTCGTTGGCACTGAGGAGGTCGGAGCTGCGTCTGCCCCTAGTGGGAGACGCCGCAACAGCAAGGGCAAGGGGAGCAAGGGTGGTGGAGGGGGCGGCGGGGGAGGCGGTGGAGGAGGTGGAGGAGGCGGAGGGGGTGGCGGTGGAGGTGGGGGTGGTACTGGGAGTGGGGGCTTCAGTGGCGGCGGTGGAGGTGGTGGAGGCAGCGGCGGAGGTGGTGGAGGCAGCGGCAGCGGTGGTGGAGGTGGCGGCGGCGGTGGTGCTGGTCGAGGTGCAGCCGTGCAGCGTGGAGGCTTTGGTGATAGCCAGCGCCAGCAGCAGTCGCGCTCCCGTGAGACCCCGTCGGCCCAACAGCTTCGTGAGTGGTACGCTGGGCGTGGGAGGTCTGGGGGTGCTGGTCTCTGCACTTACGTTCTTCGCACCGGCAGTCGTCGTGGGGAGGCGTGTGGGCTGCCACACACTACGCAGCGCTGCTTCGGTCGCTTGACTGACGCCTGGCGTGCCCAGTTTCCTGACGCTGTTGAGCTCCCTCGCTGACATGATCTGCTTCTGCAGAATGTGCCTATCTTTGATCTTGATTTCGATGCTATCCTTGCTGCCATGTATGCTTTGTCTGATAGTGCTGAGGGTGCCTGTTACCTGAGTGTCCCGCCCGACCCGGGCATTGCGGCTGCTGCTCTAGGTGCTAGTGCGTGTGCTACTCCAGGTACTGGTGAGTCTGCTGCTCCAGGTGCTGGTGAGTCTGCTCTCTCTAGTACTGCACCTACTGAGGCCTTGCAC